AAATAAATAAATAAATGAATAAATAGTCAGATAAGTATATAAATAAAGTAGAGAATGATTAATAGTTTGTAAGATTAGTATAAATAACTGCAACAATTGCTGCTGTATAAATACTTTGGGTATATAAATAATTCAAAAATTTTGTACATATCGATGACTATTTTGGAGCAGATGGGCAAGTGTTGCAATTATGGCCATTTTGCTTACATATACTGCATTTGTATTTTCTTCTTGCAACTTCATTGAGTGTTTTTAGCTTAAAGCTGCAATAAAGCCAATGCATTTTGAGCACATCAGAAACACTTTCAAAAGTTCCTGTTTTTCTTGAATGATTTTTGCGAAGGTGTTGAAAGATTTTATTTCCTGCTTCATTTCCTTCTCCAGAAAATCCTCCCAGTGTTCCATGGCTTTCTATCACCTCCTGCACATACTCAATGGTCTTGTGGACATAATTGCCCCACCTTGCATATGGGTAACTTGCAATTAGGTGCTTCCCAAATTCAACTGCTCTGCTTTTGTACTGTGACCACTCCTCAGGGAATTCTTCCTTTGGTTTGCTGGAACTAAATATCTTGTGCATAAATCTTACAAGTGTTAATAATTTGGCAAATTTTCTCTTTTTTCATCAGATTTTAGAAGGTAAAGGATGTGGCTCTCATTTTTCTGGGAAAACAAAATTCTGGCATAGTTGCCTGGCAACATTAGGCAAGGATTGATTCCAATGGTTTTTTTGAGATGAATGTTGAGCTGGTTTGTTGCTTGCTCAATATGATGTTTAATGTCAGAAGTTTCATTCCATCGAGTGACACCTGCTATTTCCCTAATTAAAAGCTTATAGCAGAACTTTCCCAAATTAATTCTTGCATGTGTGGCATCCACTTTATGCTCCGCATGTTCAATATTTAGTACTGGGTGTGTTTTAACCCCCTTTGCTACAGCAGAAAGTTGTGACTGAGTAAGTTTGTTAGGATTAAAATGAAGAAGAGCAGCAATTTGTTTGGTCTCTTCAAGGGTGCGACAGGTTTTAAATGTTCCAAGATCACTTTTTGCTGAATCTTGTGTCGCATAGCACAAGTCACACATAAATCTGGATCCAGCCCCCTGCAGTCCACCATCAGCGCTTGCCCGTTTTCATCTTCCATAGAATTTTTGAATTCAACTTTAAAATTCCTCCACAAAGTTCCAGTTTCCACACTAATTAAATTATTTGCAATTTGCTCACGCTCCCTTTCTACTGGTACAACACATGCAACCATAGCAGCTGTCTGGTTTTCGTCACACACTGCCTCAATTAGAGTCTTATTTGTACGTACAGAGCCTGGGGTATCCTCTTCCCAAATAACTACTCTTTCATTTTCTCTGTCTATTGTGATTTTCAGAACGCAAAATGAATATCTATAAGCCTTGTCTTCTAAATATCTGTCTCCTTTCTCTTTGTACATGGAAACATCACCAAGACCATCACCACCATCTTTTATGAGAACTTGAAGTGTTGGATTGCCTGTAATGCCACAATTATCCAAGCCCTTATCAATTTCACTACCTAACTCTTGTAAAGATTTAGCAAGGGCATTTCGATAACTCCATCGAACACCAACAACATTAGGTACAGGAAACTGTGGGAGTGCCTCCCTAAAGTCAGCCATCAAATTAATGGGTTCAGATTTACATGCGCTATGATTGAAAATGATATTGTCCATGTTGTCTTTAATTTTGTAATTTACGTACGAAGGAAGGTAAGTGTCTTCAGCTTTGTCCAATGAGTACAGGGGCTTGAAAAAGAATTGTCCTTTGTTATATAAAAGTCATACTGTTTCTTGTATTGATTCTTTGTCTGCAG